CCTGAAGGATGTCCCGGATCAGGGTGGGGGTCCCGCTGGGGTGTCTGCCCAGCCTGGGTGAGGGGCTGATGGCTGTTTGCAGCTGGTCACACCCCCTTCAGGGTGGGGGTCCCCACTGGGGTGCCTGGCCAGTCTGGGTGAGGGGCTGAGGGCCGTTTTCAGGCTGGCCGGTGACTGAAGCTCCCAGCCTCTCCTTTTTTTCTTTTTTTTTTTTAATTCTGGGATTTATTTACCTTCTATAATTGAAACTTTGTTGCTGTCACTGGAGCTGAGAGCCGGCTCCTGCTCCCTCCAGCTCTGAGGCCACGGCCTGCTGAAAGCAGGTATCTGGGGTTTGTTTAGCTTCTATAATTGAAACTTAGTTGCTTTCAGAGCTCAAAGCCGGGCCGCAGCAGGTGGGGAACCTTGGCTTCCTCCATCACTGGAGCAAGCAAGCCTCCTGCTCGCTTCAGGTGCAGATGCGTGGCTGCCGGCCGCCATCTTGGTTGGGTTAATTTGCATATCGTGCTGATTAGCCAATGGGAGGCATAGCGAAGGTATGGTCAAATACCATGTTTGTCTATTATTAGATAGGATTGACTAATAGGACAGGTTTTGGGGTTGTTGCTTTTCTCTGTTTTGGGAATTTGCTGACACACACATACATGTATCAGAGTCTCATAGAGTCCTTTGAAATGACTTTGTCATATTCCTGGTTTCCTCATTAATGGTTTAAACAGAACTTTGACACATGTTTCCTGGCATATTGCAGAGTATAAACTTGACTTTAATTATAATATCCTCATTTGAGAATGACAAATATATAACTTGTATACCCCCCACTTTTCTGTCCTGTACCCATGCTGATATCAAAATTAATCAAAAGTTCACTTCAGAATCTTTCTCAACACAAGTGCCCAGAGGCACTAGAGGCAATAAATGGGAATCGATGCTAAAGTTAAAATTAATTTTTCATTACTGCCATATTGGCACATGTTTTGTTTTAATTGCTTTTAAAATTTGCTGATTAGACCAAAGATATTTTTTCCTGTAAGATAACAGACACAAGCTGACAGCCTCAGGATTAAATCCAGCACCATAAAGATAGTGTGGTTGGGCACACAATACTTTACTGCTGTCATCTGCATGTCTTTAGAGGTATACACTTGTGAGTTTTCCTCACCCCACAGCGACTTGGTGCATACCTTACTTTCGTCCACACTTACCTCGCCCAGCAGTCACCTTACTTTCCTTTGCTGGTCCCTAAGGATACTTGCAGTTACTGCAGGTCCACTGAGGAATACAGGTAGGGAGAGATTAAGTTGTATCAAGTTGTCAGGTTGCATAATGCCAAATACTAGCAATTTCACATGATCCAACTAATCAGGAAAAAGAATCAGTTATGCTGTCCTTCGTGATCTTCCAGGTTTAAAGCAACTTATTTTCTATTTTAAATCACTGATCGTCAAAAAGAAGTGCTGATTGCACACCTATCTGCACAAAGCCTTGTGGCAGATTCCAGGGCTGACAGACAGAAATGCACACCCTGCTTTGGAGGAGCTCACATCTCCTTTTCAAGGTGTGAACTGTCTTATTTTCTCTTAGATTATGAGCTCTTTGAAGGCAGCGGCTGTGCTTTCATTAAATAATTATACACACACACATTTTTCTTCTGGAAGTACACACACACACTCACACACACACACACACACACACACACACACACACATGATTTTAACAGTAGTTAGCTCTGAAAGAAGAATTAGAGCTGTTCAGAAAAGGTTTTCTTTTTCCCCTCTGCTTCTCTCACTTCCTAATTTTCTTCAGTGAACGTATACCACTTTTATATTAATGCGACACCGTTTCAACAAGAAAACAATGCTACCCTCTAACATGTACTGGCAAGGTCTTTACCACCCACAAATGTGCTGGGGTTTTTTCAGGCTTTGATGGTTAAGGTCAAAGAAACAAACTATGGTGATGGATCAAAGAATTAAGATGGCTTTCTCTATGTATTGTATAAAGATTAGTATGATTTTTTATGATAACAATAAAGAATTAATTCAATATTTAGCATTAGTCACCTCAAAAAGGTTACAAGAAAAGAACAGAATCTGAGTAAACCAAATAAAGTGTGAATCATACTTCTTCCATTTGAAATAAAATCATTCTAAATAAGAAATTTAAAGACCTCTTTTTTATCATTTGATTTTCACTCCCCCACCCCCCCACCCCCCAAGAGAGATTCATTTGTGGTCATCTTTATTATTTAAAAAAAGATTATTGCCGAAACCGGTTTGGCTCAGTGGATAGAGCATCGGCCTGCGGACTCAAGGGTCCCAGGTTCGATTTCGGTCAAGGGCATGTACCTTGGTTGCAGGCACATCCCCAGTAGGGGGTGTGCAGGAGGCAGCTGATCGATGTTTCTCTCTCATCGATGTTTCTAACTCTCTATCTCTCTCCCTTCCTCTCTGTAAAAAATCAATAAAATATATTTTTTAAAAAAAGATTATTTTTGAAAACATTTTCACTTCATTTTAAATAATAAAACCACTTGCAATTAACTTTTTTTTATTATAAAAGTAGCATATATTTATAATGGAAAATTTAGAAATTCACCCCTAATTCTATTAGCCACAGATAAGCACTAATAACTTTTGTATCCAACCATAAAGTTGATAACCATTCTTATATTTAAAAACAGCAGGTTGCCGTGGCCCGTGTTGCTCTGTGACCAGAGCTTTCTGGGCAGGAAAAGTAAAATCACATGATACCAGCCACCCATGAAAAGAATACGCTCACACTCTTCTTCACTCTGCATTGCCTCCAGGACAGATCTCAGTGGACGGGTTTATGCGCTACCTGAGTGGAGAAGAAAACGGAGTCGTTTCACCTGAGAAACTGGATTTGAATGAAGATATGTCTCAGCCCCTTTCTCACTATTTCATTAATTCCTCGCACAACACCTACCTCACAGGTACGACTTGGTAATTCTTTAACAGTTTTTGAGCCAGTCTCACCAAATCTCACCATCCTCTGCTTCCGTTCCTATAAGTGAAGGTACATTTGCTTTTGTTTCCTGTGAAATCCCTCTGAGAACTGGGGTCATGACCAGAGGCTCCAGAGGTAAGCAGTCATGTCCTTATGTTTATGATACAATATCATTTCTTCACATGTATCTCCATCTAAGTTTCCAAGCCTTCTAAAAGGTGTCTCTGTGTGGCATCTTCAAACCAATGGAATTTTTGTGTAACTGAGCTCATTCTTCAGTGGACTTAAAGCCATTTACAATCCTACTTGTTATCTGCAGGTCTTTTATCTACAGAAAATTTCTGAAGGCATTAATAAATTCTGCACAAAGCAAATTGCCAGTTTTCTCAAGGTATAACAGGGTTTTAGATATGAAAAAAAAAATTGACCTGTGAATGACAACCTATATTTTTTATAAATATTACAATGAAGGTGTAAAAACAAGTATTTCCCAATTTGTCCTAAATTGAGTATTGTCGTGGTTTTTAGTAGATCACTAAATCAAAAAATATTAAAACATATATATGCACACATAATACACATATGTTATCTCAACATAGTTTTAAGTTAAAATCTATAACATACAGATTTCAGTAAGCTGAAATGTTTTTACAATCAAAATACATTTCCAGGAGAATACTTTCGGTATAGCAGATCTCTAATCACAGGCATTGAAAAGAATTTGTGGAAAATCTACTGGTTAATAAAAAAAGAAAAACAAGTTTTTTTGTTTGTTTTTGTTTTTAATTTTGTTTTATTGCTTAAAATATTACAAAGAGTAGTACATAGGTCTCCTTTTTATTTTCCCCCTTGACCTTCCCCCGGCCTCCCCTACCCCCCAGTGCCTTGTGTCCATTGGTTATGCTTATATGCATGCATACAAGTCCTTTGGTTGATCTCTTACCTCCCCCCCACAACCCTTCCCAGCCTTCCTGCTGTAGTTTGGCAGTCTGTTCGATGCTGCTCTGCCTCTGTATCTATTTTTGTTCATCAGTTTATAATGGTCTTTATTATCCATAAATGAGTGAGATCATGTGGTATTTTTCTTTTATTGACTGGTTTTAAAAGCCATGTCACTCTCCCGCTTCACACAATTCATTTCCAAATGAGTATAAGATAAGAGAGACCTGAATACCCACAGTGCAACCAAAGTCTGGGGTGTCATTTAGACTCTATGCCTTGTAAATGTTCCCCATGCCTTGGGGGAGGTTTTGATGTGCTCATGGCTCATTGCTCAGGTGGGTGTGATTTGCTTGGTGGAGTAGACCAGTAACACTACCTGCGGCATGACTAGGGAGACCCAGGCACTGGGGACTTCTCCAAGAGAGTCTCACAGGGTTCAGCCATCTGGCACCTAAGCAGTTCTTTCTTCCCAATTCCTTGAAGAGGCCTAGTCCTCCTGGTTCAAATGCAGTTGGAGTTGGTATCAGGTTCTGCACTGGCCTGGCGTCCCACACTCCATGAAAAATAGTTTAGAATAGAAATGACATGGATAGAAATGTAGCCTTGAGACAGTTGGAATGGGCTGTCAGGATGATCCTGTGTAATCAGAGACCATCTAGTCTGAGTCATATAATCTGAGTTCCATAGTCATTTGAACTGCAACTTGCATGATCTGTAGGAAAATTAGATTGGCCCTTAGGCTACTTGTGGTCTATTTTCTTTCAACTTTCAACTGACATTATCTACTAAGAGAGATTCATGCCATAAAACTAACTAGATTCATGTTTGGCCCATCCAAACCCTATTCTCGTCACCCCTTTCTGCATTAACAAATCACTCCAAAACTCATAAAACAGCCACTATTTATGTTTTGGATCCATATTCTTTATGTCAGGAATTCAGGCAGGACACAGAGGGGATGGCTTGTCTCTGCTCCCTGGTGTCTTGGGCCTCAGCTGGGAAGTGAATGGCTCAGGATAACACAAACACCTTGGGAGCTGGGATCATCTGGAAGCTTCTCTTCCAACATGTCTGGCACTTGGGCTGGGGCCATACAACAGCTGGGCCCCATTAGGACTGCTGACCTAATGGCCAGCAGGAGGCCTCGCCATGTGGTGTGGGCTTCCTCACAGCATGGCAGCCCCAGGGTAGAGATACTACTTACATGGTGGCTCACAGCTACGAAAACGAGTGTCCCAAAGAACAAGGAGGAACATTAATTACCTTTTTGCCTTTAACCTCTGAAGTTCTGTATTGCCACTTCCTTCTTTATTTGTCCAAACAGTCACAGTCCTATCCAGATTCAAAGGGAGGGGATATAGTCCAGAGCTCTGGGTTGGAGGGGTGTCAAGATATCTTTAGCCCTGTTGTAAAACCACTAACAGTAAGAGAAGAGTGTCCACTCAGCCCACTTTCCTGGATTCAGTATTTTAGGCCTATTTCAAAGGTTTTGCAGCTCCCACTTAAATTTCTAAGCCTTTATAAAGGGCTTTTCCCTTCTCAAGCCTCTTTAATCTTATTTGGTACCATTGACCTATTGGGAAGTCTGATGAAGTCTAGGAACCGTTCTAGTGTAATGTATAAAATAAAGTACGTACATAGGATTAAAGAGGAAATAAATTCTATTGAAATGTTTCTATCAAATACTAAAAATCAAATCTGTGGTAAAGTAATACATATTTTATTAATACAATAAATTTTTTGTGTAAATAGCATGTTGTGATATCTGCTACAATTAGAAGATGATATGAGAATATCTGGATTTCCACTCGTGACAAAGTCATAGGTCCTGTTAGTACTGCTGTGATTTGTGACCTGCATTCATAAATGAAGAGAACATTAAATTTTACATAAAGGTTAAAATTAAAGATGTGATCTTTTTTCTCATTTAAGTTTGAGGAGAGAGATCTATAAAATCTCAAGTTAAGAGTGTAGAGCTTTGATTTGATAGGATCATAGAAATACAACTTCAAAGACCTTGGCCCATGAGAGAATTTTGCATTTCTTGTATACTCAGGATGATATGATTCTTAAATGCATATCCAGTTAAATTTTGGACAATGGTTTCATCTACCTGGAAAGTCACAATATGCAGTTATTATGCCAAAAGTCCTTTTAAATCCTCAAATGCTTTCAACTGATCTATTTAATACAGTTTTTCTATTATTTGTCATGTTATTGATAATAAATGAGTCAATGATACCAAAATGATTGAATGACAAGTCTGCCTGGATATACACTCTGTTCTTTATAACTTCTTTCAAAATATATTAATTTTTCTCTTTCTGTGTATCATTATGGACCTATGGTTTTCAGATTTTTATGTTTGTTCCTTCAAACAAAGCCACTTTTGATGCTCAAACTGCCTCAGCATTTGTTGGTGGCAACATATTTTAGGCTGGTTTCTATGTCTTTTTGGCATCACCCATTGATCTTTGAAAATGTCTTTGCTTTCTGGTACATGAAGATCTTCCAGGCTCACCTTGTTTATTTCTACGAAACACATAGAACCAGACTTTCCCCCAATGATTCCTCGTTCCTTTTAGTGGGAAAGAAATTGTATGAGTAATAGCAATTTGGATCCTGCCCTGCCTTATAAAACGATGTTTCTAAACCTTTTTCATGAACAAAACAAAATAAAAACTTTATTTTATTTTTTCTTGTTAAGGCACAAGTTCACATACATATTTTCATTTTTACCTCCCAATTAAAATTGATTCTATAGCTGTGCATCCTTTATTAATCTTTATACCGAACAAATTATACATAATTACTTATTCATTTTACTGACAACACAATGATAGCTCTAAAATTGTTCAAGATTAATACAAACTACAGAATACTGTTCAAATTTTTCTCTGCAGTTCTTTTTTTTTTAAACTGCATTTCCTGAGGATTTCAGTCCAATTAATTTCTCCCAGAATCACTGATTTGCCCTCCCTCTGAATAGCTTGGTAAGCACAGATGTGGTACAGAATTTGGCTCCATTTGTTAGCTTGTTTAGGGTGTTAGCATATTAATGGAAAACAGTTCTCAAAAGGAAGAACTTTCAGCTACTAGGAAAGAGTCCACTCCTTTTTTGATGAAGGAAGAACTCAAATAACTGTCTCTAACTTTTTGTGCAGTGGTTTCATATTACCACCATCTGATTCATATGTATGATTTCTGAACAAGTAAACCAATTCTCTCTCCAATTATTTAATATCTAATAGTAGAATTAGCATATTTTCAAATATTTAATTTTTTAAACTGTTAACCTATGTTAAATGATGTTCTGATTATTAAGTTTTTAAAAATTTATCTTGTTCACTTTTCTGAGCTATGTATTAGTATACCAAAGTTTGCATTATAAAAATCTACATTTTAATAATATTACCTTGTCCCAGTATCAAAGTCTTTCCTTTTCCTACAGGGAAATTAAGGAGGATTCCATATAATTAGCCAAAAAAAAATTATATATAAATACTAATATAGGCTCTTGAAGCTTTACCTAAAATTTTCTTTTGACTTACAGTTAAAATCTGATTTTGCTTTATACAATACTAGAGGCCCGGTGCACAACATTTGTGCACTGGAGGGGGGGCAGTCGCTCAGCCCAGCCTGCACCCTTTTGCAGTCCAGGAGCCCTCGAGGGATGTCCGACTGAGGGACATCCTTAGTGTTGCTGTGGAGGCGGGCCGCTGCACTCGCCACCCGTGAGCCCTGCTTCTGGCTGAGCAGCGCTCCCCTTGTGGGAGTGCACTGACCACCAGGGGCAGCTCCTGCATTGAGCATCTGCCCCCTGGTAATCAGTGCACATCATAGCAACCGGTCCTTCCCCCATTTGGTTGATTTGCATATTACCCGTTTATTATATAGGATTAGTAGTATCATTGTTTTACTTATAGATAAACTAAATGTAGAACCCATATACCTTTGGGTAAATATAAACATCAATGATACAGAAATTCAAACTTCCCAAGCCCAATTAAGAATATTATAATAAATAGTATAATAAATAAAAAT